CAATACAAATTGACGGACAGAACAGAGTGCCAGCCCTGATGTCTCCGTTGAGCGCTGCTCATCAGCCTCACCTTTTCCCTTAAGCCACATCCACATCCACTTCCACATCCATATCCACCTGAGTTGACATTTGGCATCTCTGTTTATGGAGGCAGAAAAGCGAGGCAAGTTCAACAACATTTCAATGTCGGTCGCTGGGTCTTCAGACTCCCCTCCTGCTGTCTTCTATCTTCTGTCTTCTGCCTCCTGTCTTCTGCCCTCTGTCTTCTGGGCCCCTCTCTTTCAATCATTCTCAATGTCTGTCAGTACATGTCCACGTCCCTGTCCGTCTGTTTGTCTGTTTGTCCGCTTGTCCTTGCGTCTCCTCCGTTTTGCAGAGGGACAAGGACGGCGCCGACATTATCCTGTGCCTGTCTCATCCAGGCGACAAAGCTAACGACGGGAAATGCCCAAATCACCTACACACACGCACACATACACCGCAGAAAGAGACGGCCTGAGGGGGTGCGAAAGAGACATAACCGCAATAAGTTGATGAGGAAAATTGAAATGAAATTCTCCCCACAAAATGCCATTCAAAACTGACTACCGAAAAATGCCATAAGCTGTTGGGTCGATGAACTGCCAGTTCGGCATAACAGATTACTGTGCTTAAATGTCCTTAAGGTAATGGAACATGTTAAATGCTAATCTTTTGAAACCCACCTAAAATAACACGATAAACACGATATTAATTTCAATAAATATAATTATCTTACGATATATTTGAGTTAAGTAGGCGGCTTTTATCGACCACACATTTCGCAGCAATTGTCAATTGGTAAATTTCTATTTCGTTGGCCACAATTGTACATTTGTCTACTTGCTTATTAGAAATATGTTTTTGTCACTGCCTCGAAGGCATTTAATTAAGCATACCAAACGACAAGGGGATAAGAAGCAACCAGAATGAAAAGCCATACACAAGCCCAATGCAGGCAAACATAATTATTCATTTTCATTGTGCACTTTGGAGGCACTTGAGCAAATTTTGTGCAATTTGCACCACGCAAAAGTGCAGAAATTGAAATAAATGGATGATAAGCAGGCGGCAGAGGGGGCAAGTTGGGGAAAGAAGGCTCTGCTGGTGGGTGCTGAGTGGTGAGTGGGGGGCTAAATGAAGTGGAGTACTCAATGTTTGTCTGGCCGCTGCAGCAGCAGCAGCAACAACTGCAGCGGTGTCTGCAACATGTTGCCATGACAATGACTGTCGACGTTTGGCGCCGTCTGGCAAACACACAACTCACACACACGGCCAGCAGATCTATAGGTGTGCATGCACACACAGAATCAACCAAATGCAGACAGACACAACACAATGCATATCAAATGCTTAAATGACAACAGCGACATTTTCTTGCACTGAGAAAATAGTAGCTTAGCATTTATTAGTATTAGTACGCAGAAGTGGCATTTGTACAAGGTGTCAGCTGGAATAGTCAGTTGCAATAATTGTAAACCGAGCAAGAGCCAACTTGAATCCATACTTTCCAATGTGCCCCTCCAATTTTCCGCTCCGTGCAGTGGCAGCTTCGAGTTGGGGGCACGGAAAAGCGGGAAAAGCGGCGAAGGGGGCTACCTCCGCAAGACAGTTACAATAAATGTCATGTTTAAGGCAGTCAAGCGACGCACATCAGTCCTCAAGAATAAGAGGAAGAAGCAGACGACGGGCAGCCAAACTCCATCAGCAACATCCGCGCACAACAGCAACACCAACAACACCAACAACAGCAACAACATAATGGCAACAACTTTGGCAAACATGGCCCAAAGCAATTCCACTCGCACCTGAGTGGGCGTAGACACGTCTGAGCTGTAGAACTTTTGCATAAATTTACTGGCTTTAATAAAATTTAATTCCGAGCGGAATTTGCACATTGCAACGGCCATAGGAGAGCATAGCATATGCCAAATTTTTGTTGCACGTTTTTATGTGGCAGACTGCATAAATTTCGGGCCTGTCCAGTGGCGCCCATCAACTGAAATTGTTGCCTCCGCTGGAATTCGGCTCAAAATTTCGCTGACACTGGCAAGGAACTGCAAACGGAAAACTCTTGGCGCACTGAATGTGCAGCCATCAATCTGGAAAAGTGTCGCCGCTACAGGGCACACTAAAAAATGAAAACAAACACAAGGACAAAGCTGAGCTCTAAATACCCTTTCCAAAGTATTTTCAATTATATGTGCTTTTTTCCCTTTATGCGAAACTTGTCAACTCTTTAGTCTTCTAGGTTCCTGCAACTCCATTTCTTTTTCCCTTTATGCGAAACTTGTCAACTCTTTGCAGTCCTCTGGTTTCCTAAACGTACCACACATAATTTCCTGCTGAGAGCATCCAGAAATGGCATAGCCAAGCAATAAGGGCCTGTCGTTTCCCTTCAAATTTTGAGTTTGACAACAGCTCGGGAAATTTCCGCCAGCCAGAAGCAAGAGGAAATGCCCTGATGTGTAGTGTCAGTTTGGCGAATAGAAAAAAGAAATGATCGCAAACAGGCAGCGAACGAACGTTTATTTATTTCTATTCAAATTTGAAAATTCAGACTGCGATTGCGATTTCGCAGCAAAAAGCACAGACACACATGGCAAAGCGCTCATCAATCATTTATATAAAAACTTATTTTCTTGCTTTAAGTTCGCCAGAGACAAAGATTGATTGGCATATTAAAAACGGGCAGAAAACAGAGCAGATCTCGGCTGAATCATCGCCATCGGTCCACACCCCTCCAAAATAAATATGAACTTATACAAGGAAAGGATTAAGGAAGCGCCCAAAACAATTAGCAGATGTGCAGAGTCCGAATTGAAGTTCAATTCCCGGAGCTGTGTTAATTATAATTATAGCTGCCTTGGTTTTTTCTACGCTCTTTTTGTGACGCAAATCCCCTGACAGCCAAAATGTCGACAGCTGATTGGGAAAAAGGTTACCCCCAGAAGTCTATGATATGCTGATTAAAAAATCAGCGAGGCGTTGCAACAACCCTTTCGGGAATCATTGAGTGGCACAGCAAATTGCTGGATGATTAACAAGTTGACTTGTCTTAATTATGACGAACCGCCAACCGGTTTTGCTATTTTTTTGGTGTTTTTGTGCTTCTGATCCGTTTTGTTTGACTTGGAGATTAGTGGAAAAATCCTTTGGGCAAACAGGAAAAACTTTGCCGGGCAAACTTGAATTTTCCTTTTCTAATTCTGTTCCAGTTAAAGTGCTCTAAGCCGTGCTAAAAACTTCTAACCGTCAAATCCTAGACAGTTTAAACAAAAACGAAATTTCCTAGGGTTGCATGGCATTTTGAATGGCATTAAATATTTATAAATTCAATACGAAATGCAATTCGGAATGCATGCCAAAAAGGAGCAGCCAGAGATTGAATTGTAAAGTTTTTAAAAGCAATTCGCTGCCAGACAATGCCTTCTCTTTCTGCATTTTGGCTGCTGCGTGCAGACATCGCATAAGTTGGCCAAAAGGGAAAATTGCGAGACCAGCTGCAGATACAGATACAGCTACAGATACATTCGCCAGATATACAATTTCGGCTACGCAAAACGTATTCAAAGCTCTCTCGGGTGGCAGCAAACCGAAAAGGCGAGTTGGACAGGTGAGGCGGTGTTGGCTGAGTGTATTCCAGGATTTTCCCCCAATTGTCCTGCTGCAACACTCGCCAATTCGCCCCTGCCACTCGGTCTGCTGCTTATGAAATATTCAAGGCGCACTCCAAGGACTTGTGCAGCCATGTACATACGAGTATAATATATGTTATGATTTCATGAGTTCTGACCAGGATGGGCTTCGGTTTGACGGTTTGACAACCGCAAATGGTGCAGCTCGCCTTGGAGGCTCGCTAATTGCCACTTGAGGCAATTCCCAGCCCGGACCTGCGGCTCCAAATCGGTTTTACTCGGTTCAATAGCCGTGTGCCCGCCTTAACCACAAGCCCAATCATATATATCAATCGGAGGGAGCAGCAGCAGCAGCAGCAGCAGCAACAATGCGATTCAACCGAGCATAATCCACAACAATGTGCAGTTCGAAGGGTTTAGGTTTAAATCCAATGACTGGCAGGGCACCGCACGAAATACATTGTTCTTCATTACTGGTCACACATTGATAGCTTGATTTTGTTACGTTCACTTATCGTGTGTAGGTTTTTTTCGCAGTGCAGTGGCGCACAATTGAAATCAACTTACACTTGAGCCGGCCATATCTCCTACTCCCACAACCATGAAATTGTTTGGCTGGGCATTACACCGAGTGTAAACAGAAATCCGAAACAATTCGCAGGGGAATCGGGGTAATATAGGAGCCTATAGTATATCTAGAGGGGAATAATGCCGCAATAATGCAGACTGGTGGGGCAGGAAAAGCTGAATGAGATGAGAGGCGGCTGAGATTGAAAGATAAGCAGCAGGCCCAAAGACTTTTCCCCTTGATTGGCTTTCAATGCACTCATTCACAATCGAAGATGATGTGCACCGGGAGAATAGAATATTTTTCAACAATATTCATATTTTATCATATGCTGCTAGTACTACCAGATCAACCCGGTTCTTCCCACTACTTTTAGGTTGTTTTATTCTGCCTCGCCACTCATGTGACTGCAGAAACAGCTTAGACAATGAATATTTGTATTTTTCTACGCTGCATTTTCCGGGAATTCTAGCTCAGCTCGGCAGCCTCCGCAGACCAGCTGGAAATTATCTAATCCAACAAAAATAAACCGTCAAGCTGAGACCCATCTGTGTATGTACATACTTGTACGTCTAAACCGAGGCATATCCAATTGCAAGTTTGTCAAGTCAGGCAGATATTTGTTTGCCTTTCCTTCCAAGAAGGCGGGGTTGATTCGATTCAAGTTGAGCTAACTTGGCGGTTTCGCAATGAGCGAATGGGCCACATTGTGAATGAGTGTGCGAGTAAATACCCTAGGACGACTGATGCATATTTATTCATGGACATAACTCACCTTGACTTGATAAGAATTCAAACGAGTCTTTGGCAGCAAATTGAACGACGAAAAGTCCAGGCGACGCGAAAAGATCCCATTGCAGCCAGATGTGGAGCTGGAAAGAATGGTAGAAAAAATATGCATAAATCAGAAAAAGATAGATAAGCGCATATAAAGCGAATGCACAAATTCCTCTAAATAAATATGTAAATTCTCTGACAGCTGGAAAATTGCAAATATGACAGGCGAGCGGAAATTCCTCCAGTCTCGAATTCGACTTCGAGTTCGAACTCGAAAACGAATTCAAGCCGGATGCAATGGCGATAAGGATTTCCCACTTATGTAAATATTGCTTTATATTGGCCGTAAGCCACGTAACTTGGCATTATTCTGACTAATCGAATACTACGTGACTTTCTAGTAGTCTTCACATTCATATAATGAAATTTCTTTGCATTTACTTTGCTCACTTTTATTGACGTCAGCGGGGCCAAAATAAAATTAAAACAAAAGTTGCTCAAAAGGCCTTAAAAGCTTAGAAATGACATTATAAAATTAAAACAAATAAAATTACTTTAAAATCCCCCCAGCTTTTTTCAGGGAAGGGTGCTGGGAATTTTTGCCATATTTTCCTTTCAGCTTGTTATATTGCCTACGGCCAAAGCAAATAAAGTTATCAACAAAGGCCAATATAAAGGCAAAAAACAAAAAAATCCACAGAAATATACAATAAAATTAACAAGAAAACGAAAACGAAAGCAAACAGAAAATGTGCAAAAGCAGTGAGAGAAGAAACGACATGGGACACAACAGTCGAATTCATTTGTTGACCTTGACATTGAATAGATTTCGTTTGGCTTTGTTTTGTCTTTTTATTATTTTTTTGTTGTACCCCCTCCGGTTTTATTTAAATTTTATTTTTATTTCTACAGCGCTCTCACTCGCTCTTATCAACTTGCCTCACTTAGCTTATGTGGAATTTCAACTTATCTACAAAAAAGAGGAAAGCAAAAAAGACAAGTAAAATGCCTTATCTGGTTTTTGGGCGCGAAAGCTGAGCCATTAGAAATGCCATAATACGCTGTTTATTTACACCTTGACTTCGATTATATAACATAAACAAAGCAGACCGAATGTCGCGTCATTTTCGAGTTAGTCATCGACTTGTGCTAATCAGCAGAGCGGTGCAAAATTTGTAATTTATTTTTAAAACAATTACAGTCGTTGAGGAAATTCAATTTTGAAAGGTTAATTAACCCAAGCGTTCCATTCCCCACCCCACTCCACCCACAACTCTTGCCCCTCGAAATGTTTCTGCTAATTTGGGCAATATGAATTTTAATTCGAATCGAAACACACAGCTGCTGGTGCTGGTCAGTTCGATCGTTCAGATCGAATGTGCTCGACCCGCTCTTTATTGTTTGCTTATTTTATTGATCGGATCTCGCACTCCAGATCGAGATGTGCACGGCTAATGAATTTTAATGGCCCAAATGCGTTGCTTTGGCCTTCCCACCGCCTATTATTGTTCATTTTTGGCCCGAACACGTGCGCTCTGCTCTTTTCTTTCTCTGTAGAGTGGAAGTGGCGAAAATCAAGAGCTCCCTGCCATCAAAAGCGATCTTAATTTTTATGAGTGTACCCTTTCCGTATTGGGGTGCACAAAGTGCGAGTATTAAATCGAACATCGTATTTGATTGGGCTATGAATTGATCAAATTTATTTGGCCTGCGAATTATGGATTATTGCCACATTGCAAAGGCGAAGTGAATCGTTCTTTAATTGACAAGCCAAATATTTATGATATTTTTTAAATTTATCAACGTAATGTTAGTAGTTATTTATAGTTAGTTATAACATGACCGATTTAATGACTATTTCATTCAACCACTGTTTTTAACTTTATTGCCATTTTCCAATCAAGCATCTCGTTAAAGTAGGGTATGAGATTGTTTTATTTTGCGATGCCATTATGGCCGAATTTTGCATTCGTTTCGAGATCTATGAGTCAGATCCGCCTCCTGTCAGCTCCAGCTATATTGCTTATAGCTTATAGCTTATAGCATATAGCTGTCATTGGAACAATCAATGGGCATTGGATTTGGGGGCTGGCCGGTTCTTCCTGTCTGGAATTTTGGACTTGAATTGAGTTGAAAGTGATGTGCAGACACAGCTGGTGAAGTCCGAGGGGCGGAATCAAAAACCAGGTCCAAATTCAAGACCCATGAATACGCTGTAATTTATAGGCGGCGTCGCTTCCGTCGCCTGTCAAATTGAATGAGCCAAATGGGTTGAGCAGCCAAGACAAAGGCGTTTCAAATTAGAATACCAAACATTATCACATGTTCCAAGCAGCTGACTCCGACCTTGAATGGTCGAAAAATACAAAAAAAAAAATGATACACAAGAGAAACTGAAGTGCCATATAAGCTATTTTGTAGCCAAATATTTGTTCTTATATGGTTGAAAGGCACAGCATTTTATTGACACCTCTCTTCAAATAGAGTGACCATGGTGCACTTTAAAGCATTCGTTGGTGCAGTGTGACCATGCCATTTTAAAAGTGGTATTTTTTAGTGTGGGAGGTTTGATCTGAGGAGGCCTTTAGCCTGATGTCAACAAGATATGAAATGTCGGGGACCCAGGCTGAAGTTCTGTTGCTGCTGCGTGAATCTACGGGCGGGATGTTTTTACATGGCGCTTTTCGAGATTTTCGCATCGATCCTGGGATTCTTTGTTGGCGAAGGTAAGCAGTGGTAAGCTCAGCTTTTATTTTCTCTGATATAGAGGATTTAAATTGGTTTAAACATTACTTGACCACTCACAGATGGTCGTCTGTTACTAATGGGCCGGACCGCCTATATGGTGCACTTTATTGGTTCGATTTTTCTGATGATGAGCAGTTTCTTGGTATGAGATCACCTCCGCAAGTCCACTCTCTGATCCCATATCACCTCTTACAGCAGATCGAATTTATGGTGGTCATCTATCTGGTGACAAATATAATCCACCTGATCTTTTGTACCGCCTTTATTATCGACTACGCGTTAAGTTGTAGCTTCTGCACTCTAGAATCGATTCCTGTATTTTTTACCCTGGGTAAGTGTTTTCTTTGTTTAGCCAACCAAGTCAATTGACAAGCCAATTATTTCTGCATTTTCTTTCAGTTTTCAGCCTTTATTTTTGGATAGTGGCCTTTGCCTATTGGCGACGCCTTCTCTGGGAACACAACATCGAAAACGACGAGTGACGCGAAGGGGTATCGTTAATTCTGGATGTTGAGTGTTTATTCTGCGCCTTTTGTGTTGGCTTAGCGCTGTGTACTTTTTTGTTTTGGCCCTAATTTCACACTAATTTGTAAATTTGCCTTTAATGCCAAAGACAAAGAGAAAAACGAAAAGAGCAAAGTTCCGCAAATTGTTTGTACAGAGAAATATATTTTGTATTCACTACGAAGGAAGCAGTAGATGAATTGCAGGCAATCAGAACTGGAGTGGGGAATACTATTCCACTGTTTTCCTTCTCGGAGGAGTGGAAACCCAATCACTTCATTCCCGGGCCATTTTCAATCACGTGCTAAGTGCTGCCAGACACAAAATAGTCGATTTGTCTGCCCTGCCACGTTAGCGTGCAATGCAAGTCGAGCGGGCTCTCCCCACTGGGAAAATTGTTGGAAAAACTGGAGCTGATTTGTGTGCTGCATAATTTTCCGTGCCACAAAAGGAGCGGGGCGAGGGCGCCCATCAAGTGGCAAAACTATTTGCCCTATCACGTACAAATTAAAAATGTGAAATGTTTCAATTTCTGTGGGTTTCCTCAGTCTTCTGAGGAGCACTGGATTTTGTGGGCACTGGATTGGGCATTGCCTCACACAAAACAGAAACAACGGCTCCAGTCCGCTCCACTCCAACTTCGATTGTGGATCCCCCGCTCCACTGTGAGCCCGCTTCTCTGGCACTCACCCATCCATTGGTTTATGTAAATTCATTTGCGGTGACTTTGCTTTGGCGCCCAATTAGTTTAATTTATGCAAATACAGCGCGGGCCACTGACAGTGCGTGGCAAAACTATAAGTCAACGGATGTGGAGAGCATGTGGTGGACATAATCGATAATCGGGTGATTGGATAATTTACAAACCGAAAGTGTTCAATGTAGCACTCGAAAATCGATTATGGTGAACCGATAATTTGGGACAATCCAATTTTTCAGAGGGCGATAATATTTTAGGCACTTTGTACCGAAAGTTGAAAGCTGAATTGGTTGATCTAAAAGGTTGTATTATCTATCTGTTAATTTTGGTTTGTTTTGCGATAAGTTACATTCACCGAAGCCGTGTTGGCCTTATATTGCTGTTACCAACTGTCTTTATTTGATACTCATATCTCGAGGCCCGCTAAATTTAGACGTGTCTCCAAGCAGCTGCCTTCGTCTAATTTAATCGTTTTCATGTTTCTCGATGTTTTTTTTGCTTGTCAAACTGTGCTCTGCTCCGATTGGAACTGATCTCATTTTCGTTTTGACCACACAATCTTCAACTTGATTTGAATGGAGACCGGGTCGGAGGAGCTTCTTTGGGTCAGCTTTTTCTTCCGAAGACTGGGTTTGGCCTCGAAACAAATGTCACAGCTGCGATTGCAGTTCGTCGATAAATTGCCAAATTCTGGGCGCCGCCAATTGCGGGTCTATTTTTCTGTTTTATTTCCCAGTACCTGTCCGTGCGATTCTTCAAGCGCTTCAAATTGTCGTTGAGATTTGTACATTTGATAATTTGATTGCGATTGCTGTTGTTTCTGCTTTTTGGGACCACACCTCTCAATAAATTAGACACTGCCCAAAGTGCGCAACCAATGCAAAAAAAAAAAAAAGTAACAAAAATAATAATAATAATAATGGCAAATGTAAATAGACGAGCGGCGTACACCGTTTTCGTGCAATAGCCGCTTCTCACGTTTTTGCCATAAATAACTGGCTGTGGGCCACAGCCCCTCTTCTCACCTGCATTTCGGTTTTAAATATAAAAAGCAATAAATGTGTGTTTCTTTGTTTGGAGCTGCTGCTGCTGCTGCTGCTGCTTCTGGTTATTGATTAAGTCTGGCCACGCCCCTTCATTTGATTGAACTTTTCCCTAAGCGCGGTGGATATTGGAAAACTGCAGTAGGCCAAACAAAGATAAATCAATGCAAAGTGGGAGATTGGACTTAGTGCAACAAAAAAATATCACTTCAAATGGCAAAGTTGGCACCGCAAGCGTCGAATCAAAACCGAAATGAGTTTTCATCTCGCAGCGAAAAAGGCAACCAAATTAAATAAGAAAACGAATTTGACTTTCATTTCTCTGTTACCAAATTTTCCCCTATATTAAGCTTTCCCACTTTTCCTTGTTAGTTTGGGTGCGGTTTACTTTTTATATTTTTCCCAGGCTTCAAACACGCACTCCCCAATAAAAATGAAACAGCAATTTATTAACATTTAAATCGAATTTTTCCTTATCGCTTTTTTCAGGGAGAGGACGTAGCGCATTTCCATGTAGTGAACATAAGCGGAGTACAAAATGCATATGAAATTCAAAACAATAATGTGCAATCTCTTCTGTAATAGAAACCAGCATAACAGTTTGCACCCAATACATGAAGACTCATATGCTCATAATATTTTATTGCAGCCACTTCCTCTGTAAGAGCGCTTTATCGACTGCCTACTGTACTGAAATCTGAGCCAGCCATACAACTGACCGCATCGCAGCGCAAGATCAGCGGCGAGTGCAAATTGATTAATGGATGCTAAATATTTAAAACATTTTCCAGTTGCCTGTGTAAAGCGAAACCATGAAAAGTGGCCGCTGCGTTTGTTGCTGTTATTAATTGTTGTAGTTTATGCCTTAAAACGGTAACCAGTTTAGTTGAACCAGCCCCCCACCAACCAACCAGCCAAAGCAAAGCAAAGCAAACTGAGCCCGGCCAAAATGACTATCGCATCTGTTCGATCTTTGCAAACGATCTCAAATTGCAGTGGAAAATGGAAACAAACTTTAGCTTCGCTTAATTGCGCAAATTTGGCCAAGAGGCTCTGATTTAATCCATGCAAATAGCAAATGTTAATCATGTGGGTTGTGTCTTATGTCTTGTGGCTTGGATCTTGCACAAACAGACAGACAGACAGACAGACAGACAGATATACGAGCACATTTCTTGCCACACATTCGCCTTTGTTCCAAGTACGAAGCGGGCAAATTAATTAATAAAATACAAAATACAAAGCCGGGGGAGCGCAAAAGTAATGGAGAAAAATGAAACAAATCGAAATGAGCATAAACAATGCTGAGCTAATTAAAGCAGCAGCCCAGCAACAGCAAATGCCAGGCTAGACCGACCCACATCAAAGTTAATCAATTCCCAGACAGTTATGATCGAACATGAAGTACTCAGTAGATAGGAAATTGAAGAGATCTACGAAGCAACTGTAATTGCTAAATTAAAAGCTAAGATTAACATTTTACGGAATTTACAGAGCACAGTATGAAGCAGTTGTGTCACAAGTTGAATTTGCAAACCATTAGACCTTCCCGCTCACCCACTGCCACTTACAACAAAATACAAACTGTTGCACTTGAAGCGCAACGTGGAAACATAAATCATGGCAAAAAGTCATTCCGCAGCAATTCCGAATCGGAGTCCGCCGCAAAGGCCAAGTGTTGCGGGGTCAGGGGGGAAAGGTAGGGAGGGGAGGGGCTGACAAGCCACGCATGAACTCGGTCTTAACCTGGCCTGAACTTTAAGCCCAGTAGCAATTGCTCGGGGGAGGGCGTGTGCCAACAGCCGACGGCCACTAAGCAAATGGCAAAACGAAATCCGAATGCACGGAAAGTAGTAAATAATATTTCAGGTTGAGATACTTTTGTAACACATCTAGAAAATATTTCCAAGTGCTATTAAAATACCAATCTATTGCAGTATTTAGCTTTTTCTTTTTCCCAGTGCACCAAGTCATGATTTAATAGGCAAATCAGGTTGATGAGCGTTGAACAGTGGCTGAAAGTAAACTAGTTCTAGGACTTGCAACTACGAAAGAGCAACAGGGTGCGCTGCTCCCCTTTTCCGGCACGAACTAAAACTTTAAGCCGGGCCAAAATGCACTTGGCCAGCAGTCGGTGTAATATATATATGGAGGCTGGCTTTAATGCCTTTTTCCCGGCAATGCGTTGAGTGCAAGAAACCCATAAATTAGCCATGTGTGCTGTGCGGCGGTGTGATGGTGCTCCATCTGAGTTTGTGGTCAAATAAATAGAAAATTAGCCAGACATTGGCCAGCCAAGCAGCAAAAGCACAAGAAACGAACAAATAATGTGGATGTTGCAGCGGCATAAAGAGACCCATAACAACACAAACAGCGCAAACAACGACGAGGCACATTAGGCGATATATGTACAAACCGAGTCTAGAAATTCTGGAACTGAAACCGAAACTTTGGAGGCAGAGGCAACAGCTCATTGCCGCTAATTAATTGCGAGCGGTCAGGCGGGCCCCACAAAAGAGGTGTTTGCAGAAAGTAAAATAAAATCCGGCAATGGAAATGGAAAGGGCACTAATAGGGGCTCCAATAAATTTGCCAGCGTCAGCAGCTGCTGGTCAGGAATTTGGGGCTCCTTCAGCTGGAACAAAATCAAGACAAACCGATGAAAGGAAAAATATCTCACGCTCCTAATTCTGCTTGAAATGCTAGACAGTGATTATTTGAACATTTTTTAAACCGAAACCGTCATGGTTGCTCCTCAGAGTATGGCTAATCCTTTTTGAATCTTACCTAATCGCGTACCTCCCCAGTTTTGAAGCCTCGCCCCACTATGAATCACGAAAAGACGTATAATACTTGTAATTTTTTTTTACACTCGCGTGTTAATCGCAAACAAATTAAAACTAAGACAGCCAGACTCATATGAGAAATGAAGTCAAGTCAACGCGGAGGAGGTGGGCAGCAGCTGGTAATGAAAATGCCACAAAATTCCCATAATGCATTTCGAGGCTGTCTAGGAGACAACTTTGACTTCACGCTGTGCTACACAAAAACACTACAAAAAAATAGAAAAAGAGCTGTGAAAAGTCTCATTACTTTGGACAAATATGCAGTGCTGGTCGGCCGAGGAGTTGGGGCAAATGTGCAAAGTTGCCAAGTTTTGTGGGGCCAAACTAAACGGAGAGGGCAGCAACTAGACCGCAGCAGCTCGCGTGTTTTGCGGTGGCAAGTTCATAGATCTACCA